TTTTAATTTATACATAAAATCCCGTTGTACCACTGAGATCATATGATAAATGATCGATATACACTCTACCCTTAATAGTAGTAAGAATGTTAAAATTAGCTTAGTGGTTCTTGAGAAATCTTTAAAAAATGTTTTGTCTACATATAAAATTTCTTGTTTTTTAAAAATTTCTCAAGAACTACCAAGCCAATTTTAATATTCTTACTACCATTAGATATATCTTGATGAGCTCTACAATTTTTATTAGAAGCCCAAAGATAATTTACTTAGTAAAAAAAATGTTTTCCTTGCACAAATATCATATTTCCATCTTAAGAAATTTAAATATAGAACTGTGTTGCGTTATAATAAAATAATTCTTTAGTTTACTGGAAAATTATCAATTAAATAAAAAAAATCAAAATAACTTAGGTAATTGATGCAGTATCTTCATTCAAAATTTGTAAAAACTCAAAATGTCTATAAATAAAAAAGAATTTTTTAAAAAAAATTTCAAATGAAGATAACTTAACTGCTTATACAAATTTGAAGAATTTTATTTTAAATCCCTAAAATTGAAATAAATAAAACTAATTGAATTTATTTAGATTATTGTCAAGATATTTTTGATTGAAGTTTAATGATTTTTACAAACTTTAGGTGAAAATGTTTTGACAATTACTCAAGTAAATTTGATTTATTTTTTGTTTTAATTCTTAAAATAAAATTATCAAATATACTTAGGTAATTATCAGATATTATTTAGAAAATTTAATTTTACAAAATTGATATAAGTATATAAGTATTGATATAATATAATCACATGACTTCAGTAAGTATAAAATCATGTGAATAGTAAGTGTCCAGAGACTTTCTCTTTTGGGGAAATATATCAACACAGCATGCATGTGACTTATCTATGTTATTGGCACAGCAAATAATCAACATGAATACATCAATCTTCTTAAAACTTTGAATGAAGATACCTTGACAACCATCAAAGCAAATTCGATAAAATTTTTTTATTTTGAATTTAAAGACTTGTAGAATTAAAATAACAAAATTTATCAAATTTGCTTTGATAGTTGTCAAAATATCTTTATTCAAAGTTTGATAAAGAATTAAAATATCTATTAAGTAGAGATAAAAGTTTTAACTTTGAATGAAGATATCTCAACAATCATTAAAGCAAATTCAATGAACTAATTTTTTTTTTAATTCTACAGAATTGTAGAATTAAAATAGAAAAAAGATTATCAATTTTGCTTAGGTAATTGTCAAGATAGCTTCGTTCAAAGTTTGGTAAAAACTAAAATGTTTATTAAATAGAAGCAGGGAAATTTTTTTAGAAACTTGGAACAAAAATATCTCAAAAAAGTCCATCGAATTTTCTTGAGTGGTTGTAAGGATATTTTCGTTCAAAGTCTCTAAAAATTTCCTTGCTTCTATTTAATAGACATTTTAGTTTTTACCAAACTTTGAATGAAGCTATCTCGACAATTACCTGAGCAAAATTGATAATCTTTTTTCTATTTTGATTCTACAATTCTGTAGAATTAAAAAAAAAGATTAGTTCATTGAATTTGCTTTAATGGTTGTCGAGAAATCTTCATTCAAAGTCAAAACTTTTATCTCTACTTAATAGACGTTTTAATTCTTTACCAAACTTTGAACGAAGATATTTTGACAACCATCAAAGCAAATTCGATGAACTTTCTGTTATTTTAATTCTACAAGTCTTTAAATTCAAAATAAAAAAAAAATTCATCGAATTTGCTTTGATGGTTGTCAAGGTATCGTTGTTCAAAGTTTAAGAAGATTGATGTATTCGTGTCGATCACCGATAACGTAGATAAGTCACGTGCATGCTGTGTCGGTAGGGATGTTAAGTAGTTTAACTACCTGGTTAAAAACGTAATATATTCAATTGAACCAGCTAGTTTAACTAGTTAGTCAGTATATTAAAAAATGTGGTACAATATAAATTCTGACCACCTGGTCAGACTATTTAACATCCCTAATCGCCACCAAAAGGGAGGGGAAATATACCGACACTGTGGCGATACTGGGGAAGATACGTGAATAATGAGTTCACGTGATTAAATGCAAAGAACTTGATTCCAATTAACCAAAAAAAGTAATTAATATCTACGTAAAAAGATTCCGCTAAATTTTGATTTCTTGGCATATAGCTTTCTAGAATGACTGGTACGCGTGTATTTTAGCAGAATTAAATTTATCTGATTTTTCGTTATTAATATGAATTATTTTATCGGGTGGATTTCATATGAAATATCGGTTAGATTATAAAGAAGAACAAGAACAAGAACTAGAAGTGTTGAAATCAATTTATCCGGATGAATTGGAAGGTATTTAATTGTATGAATTAGAATTTTAAATTTTTTTTTTGTTTTATTTTTAAATTAATGCCATTCAGTTAAATGAAAATATCATGATTCATCTACATTGAAGATTTTAAGCGTGGAACGATGTTGCTAAAGTGATATGAGGATTAACTTTTTTTGTCACAATTACTATTCTAAAATTGGGGTATGAATTATCTTAAAAAAGAATTAGGCGAAGGGGAATTCCGTATAACGCTAAATCCTGAAGAACAGGACAGTTCAGCACCGCGTAAGGTTTTTATATCATTTATTTTCATTCACTAGTTTATGATTCCCTTCGTTTCTTAATCAATTTCTTAATAACTAATTATTTAATATTAGTTGCTGTGGCATTACGCATAAAATATACGCCCACATATCCGGAAGAAATTCCTGAAATGTCATTAGAAGTTTTGGAGGGTTCGTTAGAAGAGAATGAACATGATAAATTTTACACAGATTTAATTAATATGGTAATTAATAAAATTACAAATTTTCATTTTGTTCAGTCACTAATTTGCGGAATTTTAAAAGGCTCGGGATTCGATAGGAATGGCAATGGTATTCACATTAACGTCATTCCTCAAAGATTCCTTAACAACTTTTGTGATAGAACGGCAGGAACAAAGAAAAAAGGTTGAAGAAGATCGAATTAGAAAAGAAATTGAGGTATTTTGTAATCTGCTTTATTGTTATCCTTGTTGATGCATCTAACAAGATTAAAAATTGGTTACT